GAGTTCACCTCAGGTTCTTTTGCTGTGGAAAGCTGACTATAATAATGCCTGTTTCTTCCTCTACTTCTATTTATTGTCCACCTTTTTGATTCTGCCTTTGAGATAAGCTTATGCAGATATGTGTTTCTGTAGGTATGCCACACTGGTGTAATAGATGCATCAGGTGAAATGGGGTTAACTGGACAAAGTGAATTGAATTGGTAAATGCTGTGATTCTCTTCCATATAGCCAGCAAAACAGCCATAAAACAAAACTATAAAATGTTTTTCTTGGTGTTTATTTTCTAAAGAGCATCATGGTCACAAGAAGAATGAAATCTGAAAATCTGTGATGAGGAGAAAAAAGTTGACTGAAAAAGTAATTTTAATTATTCACCTTCCCAGCCTAAAACTAATAGGATAAAAAAAGTAAAAATTACAATATCTGTGATAGATGAATTTCAAATAAGAGCCCATGGACTAACAGATAAATTCGCAATCTTTTACTGGTATCGGTGTAAATGATGACTGCTCAGGAACTCTAAAAAGCAGTGAAATCAGATTTCAGCCTTTGTTCTGCTAGAGCAGCTCTTCTAGAACATGCACTAGAAATTGTTTTGCTGTGAGGGAAACAGAGCTACTCTTGGGATGGAAACATTGTAAAGAGATGGGGAATATACATTTTTTGACCCTGATAGTGAAGTAATGTTACTAAGATCCTTTCTTAAATGTTCTCACATAGCAAACTGCAAAGACCTTATTAATTGTAACAAATGACTAGCTTTATCACCAGTTTTATCTCCCCTTCAGAGAGCCAACTGACTGTTTCAACGTGCTATTTTAGCTACTCCTTTGTGTCTGTTAACATAGAGTCTTAATGTAGTCATCTAACACTGATAAATGTCATAAGTCAGTAATGTGTTATGTGGCTTCCCCAGAATGTTTCTCTCTTGTTCTGGCTATCTGGATACAAGGGAGAGCATATCTAACTTTCTTTCTGGATCCTTCTGTGGATCGCAGTGTGGTCTAGCTGATGAAATAAGTGTTCATTGTACAGCAGCTGAAAGGTGCCCGTTAAAATGCTAAATGTAAAACTGCTTAAAAAAGTTAGTATCAGGTATGATTAAAAGTATGGTTTAAACATGGATTTTTTTTCCTTTCCTTTTACTTAAGATCAGTTTGCAATAGGAAAAAAAAAGGTAACTGTTGCAGGAAAAAATATGAGACTCAGACTACCAAAAAAACACCCATAGATGTTTGTTGTAATTGCTGCTGTGAAACAGACAATTGGAAAGAGATTACTTACAATAACACTAGGTTTTCAAAAAGCTTTCATGATTTAAAGTGCCACTCTTTGATTAATTTTACTAGTAAATTAAATTAAAACATTCTGCTAGCCAAGTATCATCCCCAAACTGTTGAAGTGATGAGTAACATCCTTGAGGACAAAGCTAGAATGGCCATCATTCCTCAGGAGGAGATTTCAGGCATTCCTGGCTTTGAGAGACCACTGGAATATGCCACTCTCTCATGCTGTACCTTGCCCTGCTCTGTCTGACAGGCAATTTAGTATTACATAATGTCTCCTTCATCAGAATTATAGATGATGCAGGCTGAACCTGCTGAAATGATGTCAACAGTACTGAATCAAGCACTGTCCTGTCACAGGAAGTACGGTGATCAGTCAGTTATCCCGACACCAACCCTCAGATCAGGCTTCAGCAAGTAGGTGTAAGGCATGGCGTTCACCAATGCTGGGTGTTTTTTCCCAAAGGCTGTCAGAAATCCTCAGGATCATCTCAAAAGTTGCTTATGTCGATCAGCTACTGCTCTGGTGGTGACACTTTTTTTGTCAGAATGACATATACATCAGCATGTAGTCCCAGGGGCTGGCAGATTTCCTTGGGCCATCGGAGAGGTTCTGGAAACTGTTTTGTGGGATCTGAGTGTTCCTCTCTGCTCTGTGCTATTTGTACTAGAGATAGCCACTACACATTTCCTTTGCTATATCGGTGAACTCTCACATTTAATGATTAACCTGTATTGGGGGTAATTGGGACTATGATGACTATAAATATAACTTTAACCAGATTAGAACATGCCTAAGACCAGAATTAGACTTTCAGAGGCTGACAGAAAAAGGAGTCCAAGTGCTGACAAGCTAGTGTAATGTGTAGTAAGCAAGTTTAAAAACAAAAACATGATTTAAATACTGTGCTAATTAATACAATATAGATACTGAAAGCCATGGGAAACTGTGAGAGGGCTCTATTTCCTTCAAAGTTTAGAAGCAGCCAGAATATACTATCCTTGAACTAGATAACAGCAGCTGTTTGCCAAGGTAGGGGAGAAGACCCGCTCCATTTGAATCACGAGGTGGTCTTTACCATCTTAGGCAAAGAAAGCCTTCCAAAGCTAGCCAAGATAGTGTTAAATCCAAGAGAAAGGAATAAAATCTTTATTTGTTGTTAGTTCATCAGTCTCGCAATTCAGCAGGTCAAATTCAACTAAGTTCTTCACATTTGATGAACTGGTATAAGTTTTTTGGACTGATTTGGCAGTGAGCTCTACAAATGAGACTGCTGTGCTATTTTTGTCTAATATATTATATGAGTGCTAGACCAATGTAAATTACTGTACTTAATACATGTAGGTGAGCACAACAATCCACTTTGTAGAAACGCATTTGAACAACTTCTCCAATGCTAAATGACTGGAAATTTAAAGGAATTATTCTGTATGTTATGCTGAATGACTTGGTGAAAAATAGTTTGAAAAGTGTATTTCATACTTTATTGAGAACTTCATGGTTTGATGTAAGGAGAGATGACTTCTTCTATCCACTTCCAAATGGATATTTACATCCCTAGTCCTAGATCATGTAATATCATATTGTGTGTCTGGTAGCTGGTTCTGATCTGAGTTATATTTGGGTTTTGAGGGTAAAAAAAAAATGTAATCCCACTATTAAGAGATTTTTCTTCCTGTTTTTAGCCATTCTTGTACTTCTAGGGTAGTAAAATGAATGACTTTATTAACTACTCTTTAGCTGACTGAAGTGATCTCTTTCAGAAAAGGTCATTGTGATATTGGCATCAGACAGTTCTGTATTCACTTTTACTTTAGAGAAAAAAAAGAAAAAGAAATTCTGGGATGTGCCTTTGACCGTATTTTGTGTAAAGGCAATAAGTGGAAATGGAGCGGGGGGAAGATTGAGGGAGATGTTCAAGAAAGATAATGTGTGTAAATGAGAGGCTAAAAGAAAGTGAGTCAGACAGAAATTGTTTCTGGGTTTAAAAGGAAAGGCAGAGCTTATTCATTTTGTCTCCTTCAGTGAGTTTGTCTGAGTCTGCCCTAGAAGAGGTCAGGGATGTGCTTGGATGGCCACTCTCATGGTCTGGCAAACACTCTGCTGGTGGCTGCTCACAAAGAAGTGACACATTCCTTTTAAACTGGTTAGGTTGCCTGCTCCCAGCTTGAACAGTGATGAAAATTGTGTGAGGAGGAACCAATGGCTGCACAATTAGTAAAAGATGTTCATGTGGAACATAACACATTTCTTGGGCAGGGTCCTGTAATCTTAGATGGGATGGCATTATACTGTGCTTTCACATTGTTTGCCCTTTTATATACCAGGGGACTATTTGGAGAAGCAAATGGTGTTTGGCATGAGTCTGGCTCTGCATAATTTACATCACTGTTATTGTATTTTATAGCATGTGGGTAGAGACTAGGTTCTGAACAGAGTGTATGGAAATGTGACTGCCATTTGTCAGTCTGGATTTAACTAGTTGCATTAGCTGTAGCAGTGGAGACTGAGTGACCTGGATGTGCCTGCACGCAGACAGAAACATCAAGAAACAGTTACTTTATTGGAGAGTGGCTCAGTTTATAACAGGTTTTGTGCTTCCTATTTTCTGACAGTGCAAGTCTGGACTCTTATCGATTCAGATAAGTATGGGGAGAGAAAGGGAGGGAAGGGGAAGAATTCCCACAGATGGAACTTGTACAGCTGTAGGTTACCATCTGATGCTGCTGCTGTATCCAACTGTTGTGTTAGTATTTATTCTAGCACAATGCTGCAGAAACAAAATTTTAAAAATCAAAGGAAAGAAAAAAATGACAAACCTAGAATGCCTCACAGCAGTTAGCTTGACAAAGCCTGGCTCAGTCAACCATTTAAACACCTGCTTAAATCTCAGAACATTCACAATTCAACTCTTATAAGCACAAACTTATGCTTGTGCTCTAGAGCTTTGCTGGTATAGGTTGATGGACTGGGAAAAAGGAGATTTTTTCAATACTGAAGAATTATGAGCTTAATGCAGTGGTAATTTGTCTAGTTTTTATACCTCAGTGGAACAGGTGTAAAAGAGCATTGCATCCCAACAGTAGAGTTGTGCAGCACTAGTGTACATACAAATGACTGCAACATCCGTGAGATATGCAGGGTCAGAACACGTTGCCCTGGTCTCTGACAGCAGGTATTTCCCTGGAAACACACAAAGGCCAAATTGAGACCTGAGAGAGATGGTTTCAACTTTGGAATTACAAACACATATCCTAGATTTGAACTTGACCTTAAGCTGATTTGAGTTTCCAGTTTAAATATATCAAAGAAACCAGAGGGGTTCTTCCCCCCCAACCCCTCCTTTTTGCATGAAATATTTTGATGACAAAATTTGTTTCTGGTGGTACAACACATGATGATATTAAAATGAATGCAACTAATCATGATTGAACAGGAATCATATAAACCTGCTTAAAATCTCTGAGGAAAAAAACTTAGCTGAAAGCCACAGGTACTTCTCAAGCGGGAGGGGCTGCTTTTCTAAAGAGACTGTATTTATAACGGGTGGCTGGATATCTGCATGCTGGCTCAGTTCCCTGTAGTAAGGAACTGACCACATTACTATTTGCAAACACAGGGTTCACTCAAGTGGTACTAAAAAGAGAAGAGGTGGGGCAAGCAGAGCTTTAAAAAGAAAAGAGGAGTCCGTCCAAGTTTGAATGTAAAAAGCAACTGCATTTCTGAGAAGGACAGTACCTGGAGATCTCACTGCCTGCGCTCCACTGAGAGATGTGGTGAAGTTTTCCAATTTTTAGGACTTAAACAGCAGTTTTGCTTGTTGCAAGGAAATTTGCAATGATCCTTGCGAGCATTGCTTTTAAGCTGTGTTAAATTTGTGGCAGGAGGGTCAGGCATTTCATACTTGGCTTCCAAAAGAGAAAAAAAAAAAGAAACGAAAGAGACAGAGAAAAAAAGCCCTGATGTGTGCAGGGAAGAAATCTCCCAGGAATTTATTCAAGGTTGTAGTCAGACGCAGTAAGGTCTAAAGTGACAAGGAAAGCAAGGCAAAGATAAAACTTGGTATTGTGATAAGATGTCTGAGTGTAAAGTGGGAGATTGCAGAAACCTTTTGGGATTGCACATGTTCATCTTGTCCTGGATATGACTGAATACAAGCTAGTTTTTCTTTAGTGACGGCTCAAAAAACCCCTCAAGATTATGTTTCCCTTCCTTGTTGCTTTTTTGCCGGTGGTTTTTAAAATTGGTTTTGTCAACCTCTCAGCTCTGCAGCACTGGAACTGTCCTAATGGATACAGATTAAAGCCTGAAAACTCTGCTTGTATAGGTAAGTTGCTGAACATTCCCAGATAAAGAAAACTGCATTTGTATTCTCTCAATTTAGCTTTATAATTTTCAAAGAGTTTTTTTACAGATTGCTTGTTGTACTGGCAGAACTGATAAATCAGCTTCTCAATATCTGTTGCTTCTCAAAATGAACAGAGCTCATTTTTTTTTCCAGAAATCAGCACTTGTCTGTCAGTTTAAGTATTAGAAAGCAGGATACATTTTCATATGATCATTAAGAAATCTGAACTGTTCTCTAGTGCACAAAACTCCTTGCTGTAGCTTTTAGTGTCTCTGTAGTTTCAGTACACGTGCATGCATGTATTCATGCTTCTATATATGTAAAATTTGTGTGCAGATGTGTTTTTTTATTTCTATATGCATATAGAAAGAGTATTTTATTGATTATGTGTTAGTATACACTTAGATGTGGGTTAGATAACTTCAAAAACTATTCTTCCTATGCTGATTGGTGCATGTAGATGTGTTCATATTAGTACGACTCTTGCAACACATGAATTGCAGATGTGCTTGATACTGCAGGTTCCTATTCTTTACGAAGTTCAAGACAAAAAATGACAGAATCCTTCTCCCTCCCCTGCTACCTTGAGGTCCAATTTTTTTAAGAAATCCAGAGCCAATGAAGTTGTGGGTTTTGCAGTAAGGAGATAAGGAAATGCTCTGTAAGGATTCAAGCAAACAGACATAATACTTGGATTTAATGCTTTTGCCTTAGATTCCTTGGCTTCTCTTGGCTCTTGGGCTCTGACTCAGTTCTTGTTGTGATTCTAGTGATGTAATAACAGGTGCCTCCTCTGTGCATTCTGCCAAGAAATACCATCTTGTAAGCAGAAAATAAAAGTATGTATGTTAAATGATGTCATATTGAGAGAGGAGGAGCTAGGAATTTTTTGTGTACAAATTATAAACCTGACCGAAGGTTTATCTGAGAGCCAAACACACCTAGGGTGCTTCCACACTGATACTTCAATTTAAATAAGAAGCATACTTCTGAAATTGATCTCCATATTACCACCTCTTACTATGCTTGCTTCACATTAAAAAGCACTCAAAATACACAAACTGGATTCCCTTCAGGCAAACTTAAACCAGGGGGTGTTCCTGTAGAAGAGCATCTACCCTCTCTGCTGTTAATGGCTGTTCAGTCCATGGGACCAGACTAGACCTGGTTGTCTAAAACCTCAGTCTGAAATATATGCAGTGTATATACCATATCCTTAGCTGCTGTTGCACCTTACACAGCCTCTCCTGCAGATGATACTATTCATTAATAGGTACTTTGCTTCCACAAGGGAATTAGGATGTTCATTAGTTATGACTTCTATATTACAGAATTGCCCGATTAAGAGCTCACATATAACGGGAGAATCCTGCTGAGATGAAGGGTATTGATTGGCACTTGTTTAGAGCCAAAAAAGGGCTCTAAATATTAACATGAAAAGTGCTGCAAAGACATATTTTTTTATTTCAGTGAACATATTTCGCATATTGATGCACATTGCTATTTCATTAATGAAGACATAACCTGCCCTGCTTGTCTTTTCTGTTGAAAATTAGCTGCTGTATGAATGGAGGACTCTAGGTAAAGCACCAAAACAGATTGGCCAGTAGCTCAGCAAACTCTCAAAGAAATAGCAATAGAAGAAATCTTCTGCATAAAAGCTAACATTACTATGACATACTCTGAACAATTCCATGACATAGAATAAGTGAAAAATGAGACATGTTAGGGTAATTTTTCAATTACAGACCACTGGATTACAGGGGATTAAGTGAAGGTGAAATTCTGATATGAACTGTAAGACTGAAGGATGCTTTGGTGTAAGAGGTTTCCCTGGCTCTTTCCTCTGTGTATTGGATACACAACTGGTGTTCTGACCAGAAGACTGGACGTATGACATTCTGGTTCAATAACTATGTGAGACAGAGGGTGCAGTGAAAGCAAGTGGGAGGAAGCTGGAGGCAGGCTTTGAAGGTAATACTGGGGATAAAAGTGGTGAGTGGGAGATGTGACTCATACCACTGACTTCTGAACAATGACAGCAAGCTGAATCGTGGCTTGGCGACCATTCTGGGTGAGCTGTAATAGATATACCAATTGTAAAATATTCTTAATCATCTGTGACTCTGGTGGCAACCTGCCAGCCATAAGGACTACCCTGAACTGAGGAGGTGTCTGCTCTCTGTTACTGGTGACTTACCAGAAAGTGTGAAGGCTTTTCTAGATTTGTTTTCCACACTGCCACTACAGACAAAGGTCTGGGCTGTGCTCTTCTTACATTGCTAAATAGCTCACTTCTTAATTAGTTCCTTTTATTTCTCTGGATATTCAAAGATCAAAGACCTCCTCATCCTGTGGAAGTATAATGAAATCTAACCCTAAATGTCACACAGTTTTATACAGTTATTTTAAGAGAGATTATTTGAATCCTGACTTCGTATGTCAAGAGAGGAAAGACTTTTCAGAGGGGCTGAGTCCTACAACAGCAAGGTTTACAGGAGAGAAAGTATGGAAGAAGAGATCACAAGGTCAGAACAACACTAGTCTGGTGAATGAATGCATCAATTTATCGACAAGTTATGGTAGAATTGGAAGCATTTCTACATTTTTTGACATTGCCATTTCGAATTAATAATTTATTTTAAGCTGATATCCGGACTGGGGACTCAGTCACCTTTAAATAACTCGCCTCGTTAGACCCCAGTAAAAACATAGAACCTTCTACCGCTGAAGAAAAATGGTCTGACCTACAAAGGAGCCTACAAAGAAAAAACATATGCATAGTGGATCCCAAGAGAGCTTTGATTTCCAACATATTTGACAATGTAAGCATACGTGGTACACCAGGGGATGGGCCTGTACCTGTTGGAATCTGTTGCCTGTGCCCTCCTGAAATACCACTTTAACAACAGTATTTTTTATTCTGTCACGTTGTATAGACTCTTTCCCTACTCAAGACCAAAAAAGTTTTCCACATGGCACTGTTTATCTGAAGAAGACCCTAGAACAGCCCCTTGCATTATCAATTTTAGAGTAGATACTAACCCCTGTTAGTCTTGGGCTACCCTAGGTAAGTATATTGTCTTCTGGATGCTGCAACACTGGAGGTCTACTTTGGTTTCAGGGCTGACATTAAATACTCACTATGTAAGTTTTGAAAGTGAAGAAAGATAGTTATTTTTAAAAAAACCAACAGTATTGTAAAAAAGTCTCAGAAGAAGGCAAACTAAAACCCACAGTAGTGAAGTTTTGCCTAATCATAGGTTCTTAAACTCTGCACATCTCTACCAGATCCTGACATTAACTGCTCAGTCCTTGTCACTTCTTCAGGACTAACATGCTGCACATTCCAACAGAGCTAGAGCCTGCAATTGAAGGTGACAACTGCAGCTATCTAGGTCAGCTCTTTTGGTCAGATGCTTCTTTCTGTGTCTCAGGTTTTCCTCTTTTCTTTCTTACTGTTCACCTCTCTCCTGCCATGGAGCACGGGAAATGAGTAATATTAAGTTATTACTCTTTGTTTTACATCTTTAAATTTACCCTAATTACCTAAATCCTGGCTTCACTTTGCTCCATACAGCCTTCTGAAGACATGCTGTTAAAACTTCTTGGCTGTATTCTGAGAAATATGAAATGCCAAAACCTTATTAGTTCACAGCTCTCCTTTCTTTGCAAGCATCTCATAAGGAGCAGTAAGAGCCAATGAAATGGGGAACTGCTTTTTCTCCCTCTGTTGTGGCAGGGATAAACCTGATAAGTTGCCACTGTTTCCTTCTGTGTCTCAGAAGAGCAGCAGTCAAGGCGTGTTTGTTTCCTTGTTTTCAGTAGTTATCTTCCAGCTAGCTCACTGCATATAATACTGCCTTGGGGAAAGATACTGCTTGTATTTTTACCAAACAGTATTCAGGAATTCTTGAGCAGGGGTCTGAACCCAGAGACCAATTCATGAGAAGATTCACACTGAATTATCTGGAAATTGGATCCAGCTGAATGTGGAAAAATACTGTCTTCAGCTGTAAAAACTCAGATCAAAATAGGAAAGAGGCAAATATATTACAAGAAAGGACAGAAATGGCATCACACATCACATGATGCTTAATACTGAAAAGGGCTAAGGGGCAGACTCCAGGGCCAATAACTAATACTACAAGACTCATTATTTTCTTCAGGGGAAAATAGCAGTTATTCTCTTTAAAAACAAACTGATTACTTTCTAGTATCTAATTTGAAATCTGATTTTAAAGGGAGCTGGATGACAGCATTTGATGGATGCCTCATGAACTTGGTCTTTGAAAGGCAAACCAGTAATAGTCTGTTGAAAGTTGCATGATCCGAGAAGTAGAGGTCCATGCTGTAGTTAGTAATTTACACATGGAATTTATTTTGAAGATAAAACCTTTTTTTTTTTTCATTCTAGTGAGCAAACACTTGAGATCGGAGTCCAGAAAGTAAAAAAAAAAGATATTGTAGTTCCTGGAGATCTTTTTTGCCCTTTCTCNGATATCTATGAGTGGTTTCTAAATTCCATTTAAATTCTAAATTTGATTCTATTTTATACTTGATAAATAATAAGCTTGCTCTTGCTGTCATATCTGTGATATGATCATCTCTGTGGCTCTGGGCTGAAAGAGTCCAGGAGTTGATAACCACCTTACTGTATTCATATTGTATTTCTTACCATAGTATGGGAGCACTTCACCACCTCTCTCCTCTCAAAAATTGTTAATGATAAGGCTGCATTTTAAGCCTCATTTAAAAGTGGAGAGAAAAGATACTGAGCTATGCATCATCTATTTTATTGTAGTCTGCTGATAGTTGGAGTATCTTTTTCCATTTCTAGTTATTTTCTGTTCTTTGAGCTGTATGCTTTAAACAAAATAGATAAAAGGAATGGGCTGCTTTTTTGTCACCCAGATAAAATTTCATTTTCAACTTTGTTGAAAAGATTATGGTGCTGCTAGATATAGTGGATTGAATTAATCCCCAGTCCAACTTGACAGGAACTAAATTTGTGTGAGGTTATTTGAGTGGATGTATCTGCACATATATATGTATATAATGTAAGTATTTTGGGCCATAATGAAATGCAAGTTCTAGCTCACTGTGGTTTCTCTGTATCCCTGACAGGCATACTAATGGTTCAACCTTCTGCAACCAGAGCCTTTCTCAGGACTCTCAATAAAGTAGTATATTTGTATGCAAAGTCATTGAGAGCTGCCAACATCGTGATGACATGATTCATCGTTTTTGCTGATTCTCAAGGCATTTTTTGCATAAAGAAGCCTTTGAGAACTAAGCAGAACCTCATTCTTTCTTTCAGGGTTGGCTGTCAGGGCACTGCAGACAGCTTTTGTGTTCACTAAGCCGATTTCTTTCACAGGGTAAAGTTCCCACTGGGGGATGTGGTTGCCAGGACACGTAAAACAGCTACAGCAGGATGCAACTCCATGCTTTCCTTTGGCACTAAAAGTGCAGATGAAAGCACTGCTAGTTACACCTGATGGATGGTTTTGTGATCGAGTTCTCTTAAATCTTAAGAAACAGCTTTGTTCTGTTTCTTTTTTTCGTTTGTTTTGGGGTTGGTGTTTTTGGTTTATTGGGTTGGGTTTTGTTTGTTTGTTTGAACTTTAAGCAAAGAAGACAGTGTGTTAAGCATAGGAGTCCCTTCTGTTGCTGATTCCATAAAAGCCAAACATTCACAGTGCTGCTGTGTGTTTCACAATAGCACTGTGTCTCTTGGTTCCTCCTGTTTACCACTGGAAGCGGCATTCTCCGGTGGCCGACCTGCCACTGTGTCCCTGGCCTTTTATTGGGCAGTTATTATTCTTCCATGGTAGCTGTTCTTCAGCTAGAGGGATGGCTTGCTTTTCAGTATGTGTGGGATTTGCTTGATTATGTGAGTTTTGGTGATGATGAAAATGGACAGGTCAATAACCCTGAAATCTTCTCTTCAAGTACAGTTACTGGGGAGACAGTGTAAATTCTTGTAGCCTGATCAATGAGTATACTCTTTCCTGTTTTGTACACTCATATAAAGTTGGAAAATCCATCCTGTAAATAAAAGGTCATTGTCCTCTTACCTTGGTATGTAGCTCAGTAACCTGTGCTTGGTTAAAGCATGTCTTCCCAGTCTGATCCTGACTTTAGAGTATCCTGTGATGTTTTCCATGCCTTCAGGGTTTTTCTGAATAGCTAGTTCCCTTAGTGAATTCCCTTCCTGTTAAAATTTGTATTTAATGTCTGAATTTGATTTCCCTGGCTTCAGTTCTGAGACATCAGTCATTGTTTAATGGTTCCTGATTAGAGTATCTTTTAGAAAATATGCTACTTTTTCTTTGTAAAGGTATTTATTTATGGTGATCAATCTTCTTCCAAATTTCTTTCTGATATTCTAAACATTCTGAACTCTTTAAGTGTCTCACAGAAAATCACTTTTCCATACATTCAAATCAGGCTTTTTATCCTTGTTGTATACACCTTCTAATTTTTTGAGTTCCTTTAACAACCTATATCTGAGAAATACAAACAGCATGCCAATATAATCTGACCACTGCCATTTACAGAAGTAATTTTTTTCCCCCACATCAGTATTTTTTCCTGTGTTTATAGGTGTTTTGATTTGAATTTTCATGCCCACTAACATGGTAAGAGGTCACCTTTCTATCCAGTATGAACACAAATCCTTCTCAGAGAAAGCAGTTCCATATACAATCTGTAGGTCAGGCCTATCTTTTTTTATTCTTATTTAATGTGCTCTTTATTGTGATTGAATAATAGCTCACCAGTGTTTCACATAGCTTAATCAAAAAACCTCTCTCTTTAGCAATCTTATATCCAAACAGTTGCCTTTGTCACCCGTACTTGTGATTTCCACAGAGGAATAACATCAATTTCATTTAAAAGCTACTATTGTCATAAAAGTATTTTGACTAACATAAACTACATTATAGCCTTTATCGACACAGTCTCGCACCTGCTGCGGCACTGGTGACTAGATCAGGTTAACTCTCTGGCATAATCAGTCAGGTACATGGTTTGAAAACTAGTGCTCAGCAAGAGAGAGGTAACTGGTCTTTGTGTCTAGCACCAACAGCAGCTGGACAATGATCTGAGGTCACCAAAGCCCCCCCATATGGGCTATCAGAGAGGCCTTTAGTTTTAATGCCATCCAGACAACGTTTGCTAGGAATATCTAGTTTTAAAATGGTGACCTGGAGCTTGTGGTTTCTGTAGCCCATTAACACTTCTAAGCCAGTCAAACCTTTCTAGAGGGGATTTGGAGGAGTTACTCCTTTAATGCTGTGGAGAATGGAATGTACAATCCTAGTACATGAGGGAAAATATTCTCCTGAAAGCTGATTGTTTGAAGAAAATTGTGGGTTAGAATTAGAGTACTTCGTGGAATTACATTGCTGAAAATATTTCTGCTTTACCTTCGTAATCCATTAAACAGAAATCGGTTGCATGTGCTCTGACTACATTTCATGCACTGCCAAATTAGTTCATCTGCTATTTGGAACATAAGGTTGTGGGAAAACTCTAAAAACAATATGAAACTTTCTCTACTCTGTACAGACACATTAGGTGACTGTAAAGCATTTACATTATTTTTTAACAACTTTGATACTTGACAGAGAAGAAACCCCTAAACACTTCAGATACATATAGTTTCTTAAAGCAGTTAAAGGATACAGGACCCAGAACCATGGTATATCAGAGATCTAGTTGGTTAGCTCTCCTTAAGTTACTGAGAAAGTTTCCTTTAAAGTTTTGTGAGTTGATTACATTGCTGTTCCTTGTAGTTAAGGTGCCATTTCTGCCCTTCTTTAAACTAAGAGAATTCTCACATGACACTCACAGTCCTAGTTTTGGTTGTGAATCAATGTCCTTTAGTGACTTAATCAAATGTGTCTCATTAAAACAAAATTTGTTGATTCTTTTATTCCTGCATATGCAAAGTCAGCTGATAAAACCCAGAACAAAAGCCACTGACATCTAATAGTACTTGGGCAAGGAAGCAGCTGCTCCTTATAGCAGCCCTCACAACAGTTGAAGAAAGTATACAAGAAATATGCCAGCATATGGTACTGCCAGACGTCAAGTACCTTGGAAAGCTGCATCTGTTTTCAGTAGGCACTAAAATTTATCTCAATTTTGTGGGACAATTATCCGTGGTATTGCCAAAGGGATTAATTTCTTTTCCCCTTACTGTAAACAATGCTCCTCAGTAGTAATATTTTTTTTTTGAAAAATAAATTCCTTAATTGAGGGCTTAATTAACAGTTACTGCCTCAACCCTGATAAAACACCATAAATACGTCAAATATCTTTTAATTTCTGAAGGCTCTAGCTTAATCTGCCAGTTAAAAGTCCAGTTTCTAATTAGTTTGCTTGTTGCCTTGGTTTGGGCTTGTTGCTGTCAGAATACAGTGGGAGTTTTAGTGTTTTGTATGTGTGTTTGAGATTTGACTCAAACCAAAATGAGCTCAACATTGAACTCAGTGCTGTGGCAGTCTGCTGCTTTGCTGTTTTGCAAAGTCTGTTAATTTGTTGGCAAAATTATTATTGTTGATAAAGGGATAAAGATTGACGGAAGCAGCTGCGAGCAGCATTTGCATAGCAAATAATAACACAAATCAAGACAAGTCTGTTCCCTGTGTTTGGGCAATTAGAGACCAGAGTGCCCAAACACAAGGGAGAAGGGTAATTTCCCTAGACGTCAAAGGAAACTCAAAAAAACCCCAACACCCTCCAGAATCACTATGAGCATGACAATGGACAAAACAATAATTCAGAAACCAATGCATGAAGGAATACAGCCATCCTCATCTTGCTTTTTTAATGATGGGATATTAAATTTTGTGACCAATTTATTATTAGATAACTATGTCAAAGGTACTCTTTCTCCTTGCTCATGCTGCTCTTCCAAGCTGAATTTTCTTGATCTTTTTCAAATGCCTGTTTCAGATATTGATGAGTGCCTTGAAGGTGGTTTGGGAACCTGTGGCCAAACCTGTATCAATATTCCAGGATCCTACGTCTGCTCTTGTTTGCCTGGCTACTCTTTGGATATTGACAAACGGTCTTGCTATGTGAATGGTAAGGTCACTTTCTTTTTTGATGACTGAAAAAGAGATTTAGGGATTTAGTTAGCTTTATTTTTCAAAGTGAACCATGCCTGCTGGTCCCTGCTGGACAGCGACTGGGGTGCTCTGGTTCACTGATAAAAAAAGCCTGTCTCCTACTCTGTGGGTAAGTGGCAAGGCCAAAAGTGGGTGCCACAGAAGAATGATGGTGAAGAATGAAAAGTATAGTGGTGAAAAGATGAATGAAAATATGAAAATATGGAAACAAATAAAACTAAACAATTATTTCCTGTTTAGCCTTCTCTGCGTGCTCAGAACTGTAAACTCTCTTATCCCATTCTAACTACTTCCAGGAAGACGTGGCAGTACAAAAGATTTTACTACCTTAGCCTCTTTCAGTCTAGTGGTGTTGATGTCTTTCCAGTGTGTCTAGGTTTTAGGGGCAGTGCTGTGAAACTGTAAGCAAGAAGCCCTTATTTTTGGTTTCATCCATCAGCAGTGTCTTAAAAAACATGAGTGCTACTATACGTTATCTCTCTCCCTTGCTCTGTCCTTAGCTATTTAAAAATAAATTTATTTTAAAATGTGGAAGATGCATGTAATTTTAACAGGTTTTAGCTCTTCTAAGAGAAAAATATTCACAGTTGTGGCCTTTGAATAACTTTCATTTTGCCCTCAACTGATGCTACCCTGGGAAAAAAATCAAGTTGGATTTTACTGATTGGTTTAACCCTATATTTGCATCTAGAGTATGAGGTGGGAGTGCTCTGGAGTACACCTCTCACATCTCCACTTTTGTTTCCCAAATGCCTGGCTTTGATTCATGTCTGGGTTATGCCACAGCTCCCTCCTGATCCAGAATCTCAGAGGTTTTTTTTTTTGACTAATATTTACCTGGGACTCTTGCTAATGCAGAGATGGGATGTGATAAGGCATTTTTCTGACCTGAGAAGTAGGAGACAGACTTGAGTCCCTACGCATGTAGCCTTTGGGACCATGAACATAACCAAAAATATTCCATATAGCTCCAAACTGCCACCAACACAGTTACTTCAGTTACCCCTAGAACCTTCATAATTATCAGCTACATGTGACTCGTAAAAAACCCAAACTGGATTTTTTATAGTCCTGCCTAAACATCTCTGGTCCCTTAAATAGAATGTTCCTATTTTTAAAAATCAGATCTTTTGTGAACTCTTCACTTCTGAACTGAAGAGACGTGAAAACAAACATGTTACTTAACTGCACTATTTGTGCACAGGTATCTTTCAAAGAACAATCCTACCTTCATATTGGAGGACTTCAACTTTTTAACACGTTATTACTAATATTTATAGTAACAGTAGAAAGTGACTGATGGAAATACGGTGATGGATAAGGAGCCCTTATGCTAGGTATAAACCCTTCTGGGGGATGCACCAAGTGAAATACCGTTGTGTTTTAAAGACAGGAAGCTCTTTGGTGCAGATATTGTTTACGTGATCATTAAACTGCAAATCTGCAATAAAAAAAATTTGTTTTAGTTCCTGTTCCACTGGCAGCCCTCATTCATAGTCACCTGATAGGAAATTCAGAGAATGTAAAGGACAAAACCAAAGTGTATAAATGCTCTTGATCAACTAATTGGCAAAAATGCAGGCATTGCAGCTGCCAAATTCCTTAGATAAATCAACCTCACTACACTTTACTGTTCATTTACCATTTATGTGAAGCAAATCTTCATAATTCAAATATGGTCACATGGGGTTGCTCAGTGCAAATAACAGCAGAAAAAAGGGAGTCATTAAAATCCTAGAAGTAGCTGCTATAATTGGATGATAGCTTTAAACCTGAGATACAAACCACTCTGCTAGTATAGAAACAATGTGCTGATCATCTTCACTGGGTTCCCCTCTGGGCACAAAAGAAAATTACATCTTGGGTGCTTGTCAGAACTTTGTTCACTTGAAGAAATCAAAATTGGTCTCAATCCTCTGCTTTGAAAGGAGTTGTCAAACAACTTTGCAACTATGATGAAGGCAGAGCATCTATCTAATATTTGTAAAGTGCTACTTGTTGAGTTTAAAGCATTGGGTTTCATGTTAACAGTAAAGATATTTAGTTAAAAAAGATATGAACCTGGTCAATAAAACCAGTTTAATTTTCAAAAATTTATGTGCAAGAAAACTGGTGATAGGGCAGTCTTGGTGATATGGTGCTCTATGGTGATACCCTAAAAATAACAAAGGATTTGACAAAACTTGGAGTGGTGTAATCAGCAGCCCCAGTCATTATGCCACGCTAATTGTATTTCTATACATATCACCTGGTTTAAGGTTGCATCAAGGGTATTGGGACCATCCTAGTTGCTCATCACTTTCAACCTTAATTGGTTTTCTAGAATTTGGGGCATAATTGGAGCACTTTTTATTTTAATGTATTTTAAGTTACCCTTCACTCAGTATGAATACAGTTTTTGTCTGGAAGGAGTTGATGCTGTTGAGTTTTAAGTACAAGTCTTTTGTTTTCCTTCAGCCCTCTGTATGCATAAGAAACATCTACAATCTTTAGCTTTTTCATTTGCCCTGTATTGGAATCTTTAATTTTCCTTTTTGAATAGTTAAAGTGAGGCTCCAGGCCACCTCTATGTGATAAATTCTTGCTATAGCACAATAATTTGAAGTGGTCTTCTACCTGGAGACACATCCATGACAAAACTCTTCCAACCTCAGCTGGCAAGCATGCAGTGATTGTTCTGACCTCTGACTAGGCTGTAGGATTTGGGATTAGTGGTAACAACCATTGCAGTCTCAGTTTCCTAAGTCAGATTTTTGACCTAATTTTCAATATTACATATGAAAGGATCATTACATTTCTATCTTATTGGTTCTCTGTGATACACCTATCTCTGTAATAGAAAACTATTATTAAAATATGAGATAGATAGATCCTGAAGTTTCTCTTTGACTAGTATACTGCTGATGAGAACTTAATGCAGCAAAAATGCAATTCTTATCAATTAATTGGTCTCTTTTTGTTTTCTCCACACCAGACCCTGCACCATTCCTGCTTTTTAGCCATGGAAATGCCATCTTTAGAATTGACACTGAAGGGACCAATCACGAAAGATTGGTTGCTGATACTGGTCCATCAACACTTATGGATTTTCATTATGTAGAAGAGAAAGTGTATTGGGTAGACTCTGAAAGGAGACTACTTCAAAGAATTCACCTGAATGGCACAAAACAAGAGGTAGAGTACTCAGTTCTCTGGAATTCTTCAAGTTAATGGGTGTAAAACCCTCTATGGAAACCACCTGCTCTTTAGGTACAATTCTGCCTTTACTGTTCATTGATTAGCACTTTATTTTTGCTGTTGTAATAGTTCTGATCCTGAATCTAGGCTGTTTTACTGGCATTCACATTTAGTACATTCAGTATTTTCTGTGGATGAAGGAGAGTTAAAAATGAAGGAAAGAAAATTCAGACAAACTAATTCAGACTAATTGTAGACATTAATGTTTCTATCAGTTTTAAATTAATCTCTGGCATTATGGAACTTTGTCCTCCAGCAAAAGCTGACACAAATGCTATGAGAAGAATGTGTTTCAATTCCTACTCATTTTTTTCTCAAACCTTTCATTGGTTTCTATGGTTGCATAAAAGCTTCTTTTGGCACTTCATCCTTTGTTCAGAAAAAACCATGCAGTTCATTGCATCTGATTAAGAAGGGCAGACAGGCTGTTGTGGCTGAACTTTAATGGTGTAAGGGCCTTCTTTGAGAGAGATTGTCTGTGTTCGTGTACTCATGCGGAGTCTTCATTGATGTATTTTCACTAACTTTTAAGGATCAGAGCCCAGCAACAGTGTGTTAGGAAGTCTTCCATATGTAACAGTACAGGTCTGGGTGCTTCACAGTGTGTGAAATGCAAAAAGTTGTAGCGAAAAGATTACTCCAGAGTATTTCTTGAACAGAACAGTTTCTCCTTTTGCAGGGTGTCTCTCTTTTCAGAGGGGGTATGTGTAAGTACAAAGACCAAATGAAAGTGATGAAAGAATAAGAAATAGCTACAGGTCTGAAAGAAAATGAAGCAAGCAAAGGAATGAAATAGAAAGTTTCAGTCTGGCATTTTATTCCCTATAATGAAAGCCAAGTTTGGAGTAGTCATCAGGATATCTCTTGTCAACTCTTTTTTTTGTTGTTGTTTACAGAGACTATGCTACATAGACAAAGGCATTTCAGGATTTGCTATTGACTGGATAAATCAAGATATTCTCTGGGCCAATAGACAGAAAGGAACCATAGAATTGACAGACATGAATGGGAAGAAACGTCGAGTTCTTCTAAGAGATGTTGGTCATCCCACAAGGATTATCATTGATGCTGAACAAAGGTAATTTTAAATGGATTAGTAATTTCATTGAAATGGACTCCAAATATGCAAGGTACTATGATTGCAGTTTCATGGAATCACAGAAATGGATTGTAAGGGGACAAAAAGATCATCTAGTTCAACCCCTATGCCATGGGCAGGGAAACCCTTCACTAGACCAGGTCACTCAAAGTCCCATACAATCTGGTTTTGGAACACTTCCAGGGATGAGCATCCACAGCTTCTCTGGACAATGTGTTCCAGTGTCTCACCACCCTCTCAATAAAGAATTTCTTCCTAATATTCAATCTAAACCCACCCTCTTTCAGTTCAAAGCCATTCTTCCTTGTCCTGTCACAACATGTCCTTGCAAAAAGTCCCTCTTCATCTTTCCTGTAAGCCCCCTTTAGCTACTGGAAGGATGCTATAAGGTTTCCCTTGAGCCTTCTCTTTTCCAGGCTGAACAACCCGAAATCTCTTAGCCTTTCTTCATAAGAGACCTCTGATCATCCCTCTGATCATCTCTGTGGCCCTCCTCTGGGATCAGTCCAATAAGTCTATGTTCTTCTTAGGTGGGGTCTCAAAAGAGCAGAGGGGGAGAATCATGTCCCTCTATCTCCTGGTCACACTTCTTTTCATGCAGCTGAGGACATGGTTGGCTTTCCAGGCTGTAAGTGTACATTGCTGAGTCTCGTTGAGCTTCTTATTCACCAACATCCCAAGTCCTTCTCCTCAGGGCTGCTCTCTACCCACTCTCCACCCAGACTGTATTTGTGCTTGGGATTGTCCTGACCCAGGTGTAAGACCTTGCACTTGGCCTTGTTGAACTTCATCAGGTTCACACAAGCTCACCTCTCAAGACTGTCAAGGTCCCTCTGGATGGTATCCCTTCCCTACAGTATGTTGACTGCACCACACAGCTTGGTGTTTGTTAGCAAGTTATCTGAGGGTGCACTCAATCCCACTGTCCATTACACTGACAAAGATGGTCCCAATACCAATCCCTGAGAAATGCCACTTGCCACTGGTCTCCACTTGGACATTGAGTATTGACTATAGCTCTCTGAGTGCAACCATTCAGCCAATTCCTTATCAACTGAATGTTCCATCTGTTAAATCCACGTCTCTCCAGTTTAGAGAGAAGGATGTCGTGCTGGATAGTGTCAAATGCTTTGCACAAATCCAGGTAGATGACATAGAACACTCTTCCTCCTCCTCTGTCCCTTGGAGGAGGAAGTTATCATCAATATATTCCAGGAACCTCCTTGATTGCTTATGCCCTGCTGTGTTGTCCCTCCAACAGATATCAGGGTGCCTGAAGTTCCCCGTGAGGACCGGGGCTTGTGGATGTGAGGCTGCTTCTATTTGCCTATAGAGGACCACATCCACTCAGTCTTCCCAGTCAGGTAGCTTGTAGCAATAATGTAACCTGATCCTCTACACCTTTTAATCCTGACCCATAAACTCTGCATTGGCTCCTCATCCATCCCCAATTTGAGCTCCATGCACTCCAGCTGGTTGCTGACACAGAGTCAGTCTCCCCTGTCTGTCCTTCCTAAAGATCCTGAATCCTTACATTCAAACACTCCAGTCATAGGAGCCATCCTACCATATCTCCATGATGCCAATATCACAGCCCTTCAGGCATGTGCCTATGGTGATAGCATTGCTAATATTCTTCAGAGTCTTGCCATTTGAGTGGGATTTAAGGCCTGGACATCAGCTTGTGTATTTTTTTTTCCTGATTTATTTTTCAATGTAGCATTTATCTATCTTGGAAATATTCACAGTCCTCACACCCACTCTCAAACGCCATTGAAACACATGTTACAAATGGCATTATAGGGATGTATTTCCTGAATGTATGTGAAAGTTTGGGGAGACTCAAGTGTGGATATTCACCTAGGTGTGATTCACTGTGCATAAAAGCTGTACTCATGTGCTAACAGGGAGACCACTAAGACATTAACAAACTGTAAAGAAAGTAGAGTCCAAGAAATCTAACTTCATTTTTATGCCCTATGGCAATTTGCTTGTATGAAAACTATTGAGGGCTCTATTTTTATTGTGAAGTGAAAGAAAATCCCCAGTATGTTTACATGCACAGGCCTAAACGTGGGTTAAATCTACATTAGCAATGTCTTTCTCCAAACATGTGCAACTCTCAAGTAATGAAGGTCAATGTGATATAGTAATAATAGAGTTTTTCTTAGAATATGTGTCTGGCTATTACCAGTGATAGGATTTTTGTTTTAGGAACAATAATATAATTATTGCTATAGATTGTTTTACATTTTTGATGGTGTTTAGAAATGCCAAAAAATAAGGATTAAGTCTAAAGATGGCAAATAAAGGCTGGCAATTACTCAAGCTGTTTTCTAATCTTAATTTTTCTTCTGTCTTTCTATTTGCAAAAGCTGTGCACAGAGACTGTAACTTCCTTTGTTTCTTAATTTCCTTATCTGTAAAAAGTGAATCCTCACATTAGTCCAAACTTTCAGAGTAGTGACATTTCTTAAATGACAGGTGCTAGAGAAATGCAACTAAATATTAATAAACTGTTTAAAAATGGCAGAATAAAATTGGGCTGACCTGGAAATGTGTTTGCACTTATACATTAATACCTGTCATTACTATAGACTATGTAACAGTGAGGAAAAGCTGTAAGGCAGAGGCTGATTCTTTCTACTGGTTTAATATAGTCCTTTGCCAGATCTAATATATTTGGGGCCCTTAAAAAAATTATAAATATAAACACAGTAAAGGTGGTTTTATGCTACATTGTTTTGTGCATATAAATCCTGCAATTTTATGATGATAGGTCAAAACAATGTTGTTTCTTGGAATTTTTGTCCACAAGAAACCCAAGGAAAGAATCTAAACCCAAACATTAAAAAATAAAATACATGTG